CTCCTTATTTTACATTGAACGATATAATGCTGTACATTTGGCTGTACATCACTCGACGCTGTACAGATTGTCAAAATTCCGTACAATACAGCAAAATTCCGTACATATGGTCACCCTAGCTTTGATCCTTTCTTTTCGGACATAAGTGGCCTAGATTAAGGGGGAGAAACGTTTCGTGCAGGTGTTTTAAGTTACCACGCTGTCGTTGGGATTCCGTAAACGCTTAGTTTACGTGATGCCGAAGATTTACTGAACGCTAGGCAACCAATGGTACACGAGTGTAGCTGACTTCAATCGCCGATGAACCTCGCCATAGATACAAACAAATAGGATAAACTGGCATTGCTAATTTTCGTTCAGGAGATGCTGTCATCTGCTTTTTAAAGGGGTGTAACTAACCGTAAAAATAGAAAATCGTACGTTCATCAGGGTGCCGATATGCTGTCCCCTCGTTCTGAGATGGCGCTATAGTTAGCCGAGGAGCGCCTAGTTACGAAATGTGTTCTCGTAAATCTAGTTTTTAGAAAAACGTACGTAGTTCCTTCACACTCACACTTTAGTTTCATTAAAATTTTTCTCTACGTTTTAAGACATAAATACAATTTCAACCGAAATACAGTTCAACAAACGCCCAACGTACTTATTTGGTTTCAGCAATGGCGCAATTTACGACATTTACTGTAATGGTCAACACTCAACTGCAAGTGTACAATCGAATCTACTATGATATGACACTTTCTATACAATGCGTAAAAGATAATTCGCTTAATTCGAAGGCGTAAAAATTAGGAAAGAGAGGTTTTAATTTTGATATCTAGAAATTGAAATTATAACGGCTCTCCGGTGTGAGTTGTTTCTTCAATTCTTCAACACGGAAGACAATAGCCCGGGAAATTCGAATTGCAGGACTTATCTGTTTTACTGTCGGAAATATTGACCCCTATGGCCCTATCCATTAAGGATCACTTTTAAATATCTCCTCTTTACGGGCTTATACTGACCTTATGCGTATTAAATAAGCATATCGACCCTCTTATAT